CCGGTTGGGCAGTGGTGTTAAGTCTTCCCCCCTTAACCTACCTCTACACTTACCACCAGAAAATGTATAACGAATTTAACTTCGCTATAGTAGGTAGCCCTACATTCTCATGCAGTTTATGACCCTTTTCAAGAGACACAGAACATGTCTCTTCCAATTCGCTGGGGGAATTCTCATATTATTGCGTCAGAAGTGTCCCACCCATATCACCAGCAAAACAACGAAACTAGACGACCTGTAGCGATAAATGCTAGTTCTGCAGGAGAGTGATACGCTAGTGAGCGTACTCTGAGTGTTCTTCGATTCGAGTGCAAACAACACAAAGCCGTAATAGTTATTACAATACATGGTGTTTTTAATTTGACATGACAGGAAATTAGTCATTTTGACAGTTCGGAATCATGTGATTCGAAAAAGTTAATCTATTCATTAAGCGCATAAAAGTTGAGACCAAAAGATAACATAAAGCTGGCACAAATTACTCGAAAAAGAAGAAGCCCTTCGAATCGTCGAATCTGTCAAAAAGGATCACACGTCTGAGTCGTAGGAATTGTTACGCGAAATGTTTCTACAGTAACGAACACTGCATTACTTCGCTTCTTTCTACTATTACCTTTGTACTAAGCCCATATATGAGTGGACCCCCTGTTAGGTATCTGGCCCATCTGTCGTGAGCAAACACCAGCCGTGTGTGACAATTAGGACGGGAGTATATTTATACAACCCTCCGCTGGATGTATATCATTTCTCCCAGTCAGGTCAGGTCACTTTTGATTAAGACACCGCCAATTTTTCGCAAGCGTAAGCCTAAGCACAAGCCTAACCTAAGGCTTGAGCCTAAGGTTAGGCTTGTGCTCAGGCCCGAATAATCACGATGCTCTAGTGACCTAACCTATGTGCAGAACTGAACGCCTCTCCCTCTGCTTACGAACTCCCTTTCTTCCTCTTAAACTCGAGACCGCTTCTATAAACACTGCTTAAGCCATTGATATAAGAGAAAGGATATGATGAGAAGTTCAAACTGGAATTACACTAAAACGAAAGAAGATAAATTTGACCCACGTGGGCTAAAACATCAGCAGACTAGATGCTATAAATCTTTTTTTATGATTCTTTTCTGGTTTACTGAATCGTCAGTTTAATTGGGGGTTAAAGCCAAAAAATGGACTTGTTCTGGCACGTGATTACACCAGGTGAATATGAATTCTTTTCCAGGCCCGCATAATAATCAAGGAAGTATGATTCCATTGAATGAGAACACAAATTATCGAGGTTTGACGTGGTCATAGAATATGAAAAAGTACCTATTACGACTTCCATTAAGTAGGGCTCAGACGACGAGCTGGGCTCAATGCTGCCCTCCATAAGTTTTCCATTGACAGAAATTGTATCACCACCTTCCGTCTCGAGCATACCCTATAAATTTTAAGTAACTAAGAACGCTAATATGAATTGTTAACATGTAGTTAATGAGTTTTTCATACATTGCGCTGCTTATACCTAATAATGACAATAACTGTTGGTGGAAGTTCTACGAGCATATTTGAGGTCTAAGGTGGACAAGATGCCAAGAAAGGCAAGCTGCGCCTCTCAACAATCCGAAGTCAAACAGCTGACCAAATTCAGGGTTAGGGTTAGACATGTAAAGGAAGATCAAAAATGACTTCCACCAGCTGTCTCTCCGCAATCTCCTCGACTTCATAGTAAGGATATATCTCTCAGTTTGCGTGATTCATTACAAGCGACCACAATTTTGGACCCCTTCATCACTGGAATCGAATTTTTTTCCAATTCGTTTGATTCTGATTCCAATATAAATGATAAAGAAATCGAACGATGGGAAAGCTCCGAGAAACAAAATGGCCGAGTTTTTTTCAAATATTGGGTTACTTCAACCCCAGCTAGACTTCCTCTTCAGCAATTCCATTCTCCACTTTATCGGAAATGCGTCGTATCGGAAAAGAAGAAACTATATCGGAGACATTTACGTCAGAGATCACTCGAAGGAAGCGGCGGGAGCGCTTGTACCAAAGATCACTCGAAGGGTCCCGCGACCTCCGACAGGGGTGTAATAATTGAATCGGCTCTGTCTGAAAGATATGGCGGAACATTGGTGGGGTATTCGAGAAACTTTACACGTATCCCAGCAATGATTTTACCTGGGTTTTTTCGCTATCGCCACTTAGACGCTCAGAATCATGGAAACATTCAAAACTAGATGTTTGGTACCAAAAACCCTCAAGACTAAGTAAGCAAAGGCCCAATGTGGCGGGGGGGCACTCTGATAGATGTCATCTAGGACTAAGCCTAAACAGCAGGGACGAACTCCGGAGAATACGAAAATTGCTTCCGTACACCGGAGTTCCTCTCCTCTTCAAAAGCTTAGTCCTAAAACGGAGCGTTCCGTGATTTTGACGCGATGTTGCGAGGTGCCCCCTTCCGAGCCCACATTGGCGCCGTAAGCAAAAAACGAAGAATCAGAGCCTATTGGCAACTCACCGCAAACGCAGAGCGATCCTCACGGAAAATCAGTCTAGCGGTACCGCTCTCTGTCATACTCAGGACGATACCACGACGAGGCATCCTTCTGACACGCATAGTTGAATTAACAAGTTATGACAACGAATGGATAGCGCGAAGTACAATAGCACTGCTCTAGGTCAGCAAACGATCACACTGAAGAGGGCAATCGCACGAACGCTGGAGTCACATGGGACCGCCCAAACCGGGTGGCGACGTCAAAATCCACGCCCTCATGTGACGTGACAGATGTTTCAATTAAGCGTGATAATGGCGAGAGAGAATAGATAAGCGACGTTCTACACACGATAGATACTGAAGCGCAATGTTGTGCGAGTCAACGTGAGGAATGCTTTACAAAACTGGCCACATGTCTCAAAAAAAAACGGCACTATTCGAAGTAATTCAACCCAAAAATTAAAAAACCTACTTTTCGTCGAAAGTTTCTGAAGCAACTTTTGCCCATAGGGCTAATTCATCCCTGATTATGAAAGTAACATCCATTTTCAGCGTTGGCACTATTTGGCGCCAACTGGCGCCTGTTTGGCGCCAGGGCTGTTCTCACCAAATTAGCTGTAAATTTATATACTGGGATTACATGGAGTCCCGATTACGAATATGACATTTCGTTTTGCGTTGCACTGTTCAACACATGCCTTCTACTCTCCTGGGCTCTCTCACCTTTTACATATTACCTAAGAGTAAGCTTAAAGGGGAACTCTCGGATGGATGAACCTGGCACCGTCTGGCAAAAGCTGTATGAGATCTCAGGGTGAGTGGCTTACTTACATCGGGGCGCTCCTCTCCCCAAAGCTTAGTCCTGCTCTCGACTTTATCAGTGAGAGGGTGCAGAAGAGCAGAAAATACACGCCAAATGGTAGCCAGTGGCAAAAGGGATGTTAGATCAGCGAATTTGGTGGAAACAGCCCTGGCGCCAAACTGGTGCCAATTAGTGCCAGATGGCGCCAACACTAAAACTGAATGCTGATTCCGTAATCAGGACATAGAAGTACCCCTAAGAGCAAAGTTCTACGAAAATTTAAACTCTGACTTTTCAGGGTTGTTATAATTGAATAATGTGCCAAAAAACCGAATGGCCGCAGCTCTTGTGCATAAAAAAGATGGCATACAATCTGCACCCCCCAACATTACGGACTTAGCGAACAACGGGCCCATGATGGAAACAAAAACACAATCTCATGGAAAGCAGTTTCGCTGCAATACAAGTGGAATGGGTACGCCGTTTTTGCAGATACGAGTAGTCGACCAAATGTTGTAAATGGGGACTGGTGCTGCCCTTAATTCATGTTGTCGCAAAGATACTGGAGGAATTCCGTGATTGCCAGGGGAGGGGAGCTACAGCTAAGGGGGGGGGGGGTTTGGGGTGAGAGCAGTCACTCAATTATGCAGAAAAACTGGGGGGGGAACTAGTTAGTAGGCCCTGTTCAGAGATGTCCGCCGGCGCGAAAAAACGCACAGGCGAAAATCTCCGCCAAGATTTAGATACGCATCGACTGAGAAATTGTGAAACGCGTAAGCGAAACGTCCGGAGCAGGCGAATTTCAGTCAAGAGTTTGATATGTATCGACTGTGAGAAACGCACAGGCGGAAAATCGCGTGAGCGAAGCGTTCGTAAGTCGATGCGTATGATACTCATTTTCGTCGATCCTCCCACTTCACGATTCGCCTGTGCGTCTTCGTTCAGTCGATACATATTTCACATTGTTTCGCCTATGCGTTTTTTCGCGCAAGCGGACATCTCTGAACAGGGCCTTAAGAGAGCGGGCAGCGGTTGCCATGTGAGCGACGATTTCGCGCCTACCGTTAACTCCGAAAAAAATACCGGCGAACCCATCCTACTTGTATTGCACCACAGTTGCATTGGTCTGAATTGCATTTTAGCACGGTATCGTCCTAGAATTAGAAAAAATCTCCTGTTATTCTTAGAGTGCGATCATACTTCAAAACCTTATTGCACTTCGAGCTGGGAGTAGATCCGTATCGATCGTGCAATCTTGCGATCGATACGCATGTAATACGCACACTCAAACTCGGAAGTGCAAAGCTCTCGCAATGTATGACCGCATCTTCAGAAGCTGCACTGTTTCCTAAACGGTGCGGTAGTAGTGATAGTTGCTCAGCTCTGCAATTCTCATCATAAGCCTTGTTCTCCATTGATTCCATCCATTACAGCAGAGTGCACTGTTTACCTAACGCAACACAGCCCCCACTGATTGAAGGAGTATGTGAGAGCTGCGAGAAAAAGAGCTAATGAGGCCTTACGGAATCAAGAACAAAATTATGAATATGAGCAATGGACGAGATTCTCTGCGCGACTAAGTTTTCTGATTATATCAGACGAAGTGTCCACCGCCGAAGAACATTAACCGAAAAATAGCAAATGTTGTGGTCATCTTCAAAAAAAAACAACTCGTCTAAGCACGCCCTTTAATCACCCTTGTTACCGAGCGCTGCTACCCTACTACCAACTTGACTCGTGGGTTGTTGCTTGAAAGAGGGGGCTAGCTGGTACAGGAGTTGTACAATAAAGCACCCGAAGCGGGGATGAGAACTTTATCTGGCTAGTGGGAGAAGAAGGGGTTTTGGTGACTGTGCACCACACCACTTTTCACAAAAAAATTCTTTTGACAAGAAATTTGTTCACCCACATTGGAGCTCATCCTCCTGAAACTAGCTAAAAATCGTCATCCCCTGCTTCTTCGCACCATGCAGTATCAAATGCTCTACAACAAAGGAAAATAATTAGATTTGAGTGAAAACATTGGATTAAAAATGTTGGGGGGGGGGGGGGTGAAAAACGAAGATTTCGAACGGATAAGCTCTTTGGATTTCCTAGCTTAAGATGAAACCTCCTGTCAAGTTGGGATTTTCTTTGTATGCACAAGCCATTGCATCAAAATGCCAGCTCCTCTTGGGTAAAGAACGCCATAGAAGACTTCTACAGTACCAGCAGAAGCACACCCTCCGACAATTCTTGCACTCAAATTCATTTTAGAAACAAAAAGCAGAACATATCCTACGGGTTATTGTGTGAGTGTCCGTGCGAGCGAAACAAAGCAAATTAAAAGCTTCCCACGAGGATGGATTTTACGTCAATACCAATCGCAAACAGAACAATGGAAACCGGTTCGCTGACCTGCTGCTCTTGCATCTCAGTCTACGGGAGCGTTTTAATAGCATCCCATTTTGAAGGAAAGAGGAAGAATTTGTTTGAACCTCGTCATAATTACAAACTTTATATCACACCTGGTAGAAATTTTTAATGACCTTGATGCGGGTGTATTCCATATGGCACGGCCAGATCGCCATTGGAACGCATAACTCGGCCAAATAACTCGTCTGGATCACCGACCCCTTAGACTGGTGTCAGAGTCCGCGATGCGTCGCGCGACGGATCGCGGACTCTGACACCAGCCTTAGATTATCATGGCTGATCAGTCTACAGTGAAGCACGTATGTATGAGTAGACAGGACTGCGGATAACTCCCTAGATGATCCTACCTAATGCCACGTAAATTACTAAATTTTCAATTACGACCTACTTCGTCCTGAGAAGCTTCAAAGAGGGTCTATTCCATAGGAGGGAGGGGCACGTGGTGCAATGGTTCGTGACGCTTGCAGTAAGCAAAATTTTCGCTAGGGAAGGAATTCCTTGCGGTATGTTGACCATTTTGCTTCCGTTCACCTGCCATGGAGATTCCTCTATCTACAAAGTTGAGGTACTCTGACCGGCATGGATAGCTGCCCCCCCCCCACCTCACTGAAATAGGCCTTCTAGAAAAGGCAGAATAGCCCTATAGAACGGAGTAATTATGATTGACAATGAAGCATACTGCCTAGATAAAGTGCGTTTTTTTTTTCGGAAACCGTTGTCCTTTAAATACCACTCAGAGAGTTACGAGGGCTTCTGTCAGCCGAACGTGTGAGTGGGGAGGGAAAAAGCATACGACTATATGCAGTTCTAAAGACTGAGGTTTTTAAAAGGGTAATAACAGCAAGACAGCAGGAGATGTCGTGAAGGTAGACGGCGAAATGAAGCAGCTCCAGACGCGACTACAGAACAGTGAGAGTCGTTATAAACGCCTCAACGTTGATAAAGATCCTACTTACCGTGCGAGTATGGACGCATAGTTTACTCGTTCACTATTATGACTCAAAAAATATCCCGGCATATGGCTAATCGTAGGTTTAGTCGTTACCGTCTGTCTAGTACGCCAAAATCCTTGGCATTATCGGCAGGATGCTTGGATTGCAAGTTTTGTGGGATGGGATATAGTGAGACAAGTACGGGATTGAAAGAGCTTGAGTAGTTGCTAGAGAGGCTGGTGAAGGAAATTAAGTCAATTTGCAATCGTGGGCGGGGTGTGCGCCCGAAGGGGTGGAGCCTAACCGAATCGTTTGCCCAGCTACAACCCGTCAAGAACCCTATTGTGAGCGCGAGTACGTGTGCGGGTAGCAAGGTCTGGTACTTTTATAAACTGGGAAGCGCGGTTTTCAGTTGAGTTTTCATGATGACTTTACCATTTCCCGCATGTTCTGCCTCGTGAAAGACTGGAGCTCAGATGGGTTAGGGACATTTGCGGCATCGCGTCGTACATTGCTAGCAAGAAAATTCAGGAACCAGGCTGCAGGGGACAGAGGAGGGGGGGGGATGGGAGGAAAAAGGCTCCGCCTTGAAACGAGGCAAACGATGGAGCATGTGAAGTCCCAGGTGTCACGGGTCATGGTCAAGAAAGCGCAGACGAAGGCAGCACTTGGATGGCTTTTGAAGGCCAAGTTCAAGGTAGCCCGTAGACCGCTTGCGGAGGGAGGGGTGGGGGGGCGGTGCTTGCAATTGCAGATCATCAATACCCGTCAGAGCCTTCAAAAAATTTTCATATGTGAATAACCCGCGAACTGATTATCGCTGTGGGTGTTGTACTTCTGGCTGTTTTAGATCGCCTCATCATTGCCATCGGTCTCTCTAAGTGGATCTCCAGATAATGCCGGCTTTCGTGATATTCAAGCAGACAAACAGACAGGCGAAGCCGAATATAGCAAGGGGACTACATTACCGG